GCAAATCAGTCCGGCAAGGCAATCTCAGAAAGGCGTTTGCACTCCCTGAACCTGCGTGCAAAGTGCTACTACCCAAGATCCAACGCACAGCACCAAAGAGATGTGATTTCTATGCCTCTGAGCATATTGTTAATGACCTCTCCCCACCTCAGCAGAATCTGTGGTGGCTATACTGGAGTACCACACAGAACCAAACGACACGCCCCCAAAACTAAGTCGCCAATGCGGAAGGCCGTGAAACCAGAAACCCCAAATGCCGAACCCTCAACGTCTGAACTCTGAACCACAGTAAACTCCACAGCCAAAATCCCGAACCCTAGTCCAGCTTTTGAGGCTACTGCCCAAGAGCCTTAGGGCATGCCCTTATAAAACCTGGCGCTTGCAGCATCGATCTAGGTGCTTAGGGTTTAAAGTCTTGAGTGTAGAGTCTACCGATATGGATGTTTGAAGGCCGACGTCCGAGTGCTGGTGCGCCCGGCCCACGAAGCCTCCGCCCACGCTCTGCACAGGGCTTCCGCAAGGCGGTTCGAGGGCTTGAGTTCTGGACTAAGCGGCTGCGGGGAGGGGTCGAGGGTGTGTATAGGGCCAGGGTGTAACTATCCAATTGCGGTTCGGCGTAGGGTTTGCGCGATTTTCCTGAGGATTTTAGGGTCTCGGGGGTTCAGGGTTTCGGGTTTTAGGTGGGCTTAGGGATTAGGAGTTGTGTGTTATAGGCGATGTAGGGGTTTGGGGCTTATAGAGACTTTTCTGTTCTTCATTGAAACACGGGGAGTTTCACAGAGTCTCTTGCAATCAGCACCGGACCTGCAAGCGTGAACCAAGACATCATGTGTAGGTGCAGCGAGCTCAGAGGCGGAAATTGTAGAGAGTTACACGTCTCAGGCTCTTGAGGTTTAGCATGGGCTCTGTTGGGCTCAGTGCACGAGACCCCTCGTCAACATAGTTTTATGGACCTTCTGCTACGATAGGTTCATGTACAGTTCTTGGGATTACGCACGCTCAGGAAAAGAAAGCTAATCCTGAACATCCAACCCTGCACTCTAAACCCGAAGCCTAACACCTAATTCCTCAGCCCTAAATCTAAATCCTTCGGTAAGCTTCATAAGCTCTGTAAAAGCTAACCCATGCAAAAAAATCTTCGCGAGGTGGCCGTGGGCAACGAGCTTGCTTTCAGAGATCGGGGCATCTCAGAGGTTTCTTGATTCGGACAACATGGGTATTCGGAGTGGGCCTCGAGACGAAGCTGGCTTTAGGTAATTTGGTTTCATTGTTGAGGGTGTTTGCCCAGTCTGCAATTCTGCTCCCTAGGAGTAGCCTAAATTTTTGCAGGTAGAGGATCAGAAGCTTGAGGCCCTTTGTTTGGGGCTTGCTCGAGGGTATTGGAGCGAAGTCTTGGGGGGCTTGAAGGCTTATACAGAGTTTGGACTTAAATTGGTCAAAGAGGTTTGTCGTCTGAGGCTTAGGAACCCGAGCAGTGGCCCCACTGCTTACGCAAGACTGTTCTTCCATCAGCTGAACAGTCGTGTTACCGTATTCCCAATCTCCTCGAGTAGGCTTCAGGTCTTCAGGGATTAGCGTTTGGGAAGTCACGTGCTTTGGGTGACAGAGCTTAGCTCAGGGGTGTGTAGGGATAAGCGTAATGGACTTGGGAATGAGGGCTCAAAGGTTTTGACCTGGTCAAAGTTTAGAACTTACGGTTTATAGAGTCGAACGTGTCAATACGTGTCACAGCTGGTGGAAAATTTAGTGCTGCTGAAGATCGGAGGCAGAGGCCCACCACGGCATTAGGGACAGCATGGTCCGATACCACAGTGAAGGCATGCAAGTGCAACTTGTAGGAATCATAATGGTGCTTGTTAGCTTCTGCAAACAGCAGGAGGGACGGTTTGCGCATTTCAGCATACGCAGGAGGCTCTATCGCCAACTGTTTGCCCAAGACCCTGAAGCCCGAGCTCTGAACTCTAAGTCCTGAACCCTGTGCCATTGGCTTTAAATCCTGAACTTTCAAAACCCCTCAAACCTCCAGCCTTGAAACAAACTGAAGTCTCAGCCCTGAAATTGCCAGACCCCAAACCTGGTTCGCAAGGCCATAATAACCAAAAAAGCTTTCCGAGCAGCTGAACAAATTCCCAACAAGCTCAGCAACCCCAAAAGCCCCAAAGACCTGAGCATCTCTGAAAAATCTAGAACCCTTTCCAAAAAACTGACAACATTAAATCTCCATCCCGCAAGAACCCGCAGAATGCTATAATGTAACTTTGCCGGTGTTTGGTCGGGAATGGAGGAACGGATGCTTGCAGTCGGTAGTAATCCCTGAACCTGTAGCAGTAGCCACTTTCGCGTCTGGCTTCATTCCCTACTACCCCTAAACCCTGAACCCCCAGCCTTAACTCCTGTCTAACATTGCAATTTTCTCTTCCTTTCGTTTATTCCTTACAAAGTACCCGTGGCCGTAAACCGTTGACCCACATATTATACTACCAGCTCCATTACAATGCAGCATGTTCATTCGATTTTTTAGTTGATTCTCGATTCAGCCCTCCTTGCGCCCTTTTTTGGAATCCAAGCCTGGAGCCTGGAGGGTGCAGAAGTTCCTGGAGGAGGTCACAAGGACCTAGCGGCAGCCTCATGGGGAGGGTCGTAGGCTTTAGGATTTACCAGGCATTTCTCGAGTGTAAATGCGAGGCACTTGTAATGGTCAGGACCAAGGCCGAGACTGATTTCCTACATTCGGGCCAAGGACTATTGGGCTCAAAGAGAATTCAGTGCTGACTGTCTCAATTTGTCCCTCTGCACACATCTTCCGCGAGCTTGCCGAGAAACAATAAACTCTGCTTGCGTGGGACGTGCGTTGAAGTGAGGGATGATAAATAAAAAAACCGTAATCAGGTTTAAGA